TGACTTCGCGATCTCGAAACTCGGCTCAAAAAGCAGGCAATTAAGCTAGAAGAGATGGAGAAAAGCAAACAAGAGTATCTGCTCGAGATAGAAAGACTAAAAACGGAAGTATCTATTGTCGGGCGCTTTCAAATGGGAGCCTCGGCATCAACACCGAAAAAAACATTAAGACGTCATACTTTTGGACACTATGGCAACGTATCACCTAAAAAGCATCCCTAGTGTATATGCCATTGAAAAATTATCCACCCAAGAAGAATCATCCGGACGTGAAATGAGGCCTATTCAAGAAGAGACATATGAGGAGGCACTAGCCGAAGCAGAATCTGTGATAGCTGAAGACGTGCAAGTGTACTTAAAAGACAACTCAAAGAACTGGAAGAATCTTTCAATGAGCTTAGAGAATTCACTAAACTAGATAATCAGCTGGAGATTTTGGACCTGAAGAAACAGCTCACAGAAGCCAATTCTAAATTCGATCGTTACAGTCAGGAACTCCGCCAAGTAACGGATGCGTACAACGAAGAAATAGAAAGAGTTCAAAAAAATTCTCAAAAAAGCGCAAGAATTTCATCGACTTGCAATACAGACTCGATTTTCTGGAAAAAAATAATAAAAAGACTAAAAACATACGAGTCAGAAATAGAGATGCTGCGTACTCAACTGAAGAACCTAGGAAGATCAGAGAGCCCTAAACCATCTCTTGAAGCTCAAAATATTGAGTCAAAAAGAAGGTTGCAGACTTAGAAGCTATGCTTGACGCTGAGTACGAAGATATGCAACATTCTTTAAGTGCTACTGCACAAACTGATGTAACGATGTCACACCATTGCTGAACTGCAAGATGAAATTGGCTTCCTAAAAGAACTTGAATCTAAACTGAGAAATGACGTAAAGAGTCTGATGGACGAGAGTAACCAACGTGAGGTCAACCACTCATTTAAATCTCAGATATACGATTCCATAATGATTCTACTATAAAAGAGCTTCAGGATCAAATGGCTGAACTGGAATGCCAAAAACGAATCTGGATTATGAAAAAGGACGACGAAATCAGAAATTGCAACAAACTAATTACAAACCCGAAGCAGGCTGGCACTTAACCAGAACCACCTGTGCAGGAAGACGTTGCATTTTATAGGAAGCAAGGTTGAGTTCTCCCAGAACATGTACAAAATGAGATAATAGGTGGAGAGTTACGTATAAACCATAGAGAAAATGTTCAGGCAGTTAAACTAGAAATATGTCTACCCTTGTTTAGTGTTTACGATTATTGCAGGGTTTGGACAAAGTTTAGGGCTGATCCCAGTGCTCACAGTGTACAATTTTCAGCTAATAAATCTTGAATTCTGAGGTAACAAAATCAACTAGAACTCTGAAAAAGTGATTTATCAGAAATCATGCCCTTACTTCCATGATAAGAGGGATTCGTAAAAATTATAAGCAGGTTGTGGCTTATATCTAGTAAAAGATACAAGAATCCCAGATCTGAAAACGATTATTGTTCATTGTGATCACAAACTAGCAGCGACCTTGGTTTGTGCGTTGTTGGCACTATTTCTAATCAGGGCGCAACGATCAAAAACGCAACTTGAGAACGATTTGCTCGGAGAATACTCACGGATCAAGTCCATTCCATTTTATAGTCAATGCTCAGAGTATTTCTACAATTGTGATGAACCACATTTATTCAAAAATGGATGAAATGCTCTTATTGACATTATATGAAAGTGAAGAAGCTGCACAGATTGAACATGTCTAGAAATCATATAATGTTTGATCAGCAAACAAGGACCATACAAAGAGCTATGTAATTGAAACCCAGCCACTTTGATTTTATAGATTCGTTCAAGAATATAGAAATTAATCCTTTAATGATATCGTCGGATGATTCGAGCTTTCTCCGTTATGTGGTGGGGGTCCCGTGACTTCTCATACGGTATGAGCACGTATACCTCAAACCACAGTTAATTTAAACATCACAATTGTTGGTTTGTTGACTTTGCGGTCAAATTTGATCCGAGGATGTCAGTTGCGTGTACGATTTGAACTTCCTTCACAATGGATTTTTCGTTGTTGACGGATGAACAATACACTATAGACTACGCCGAGGACGACGCTGCTATCGTCAACCTGAACAACTTCCTATGGGCGACCTCGCTATGCCTATGGAAAAAACATGTACAATTGGTCAAAAACGAGCGCCTGCAACTGGTCGATTATTACGCATTACCTGAACTAAAGTCCGTGGCAACCAATTTGGAAAATAATAAACCTGTGACTCGAGAAATGCCGATAAATTTCTCCAAATACGTGAATTTTCGAGAGACCTCATAGAGAACTGTCGAAATGTTATATTTCGGGTGAGTCCCCCTACAAAATACGAGATGCTCGTGGGCCGATGTCCTTCCTGTGGCCTACAAGAAAACTAAACCGAATAAGTATGGACTGATGATGCAAAGACTCACCACTACCTGCTCAATGCTTTCGTCTATACGAACAGAAATATCACAGCAGATGACTGGTTCACGTCAGTAGAATTACATGTAGAATTGCGCATCAACCAACTGACCTATGTCGGCAGGAAGCGTAAAAATAAGTAACAAGTACCCCAACATGTAGTTCCCAAATAGAAGGAAACACAGCCAGGTACTTCTAAGTTTATGTTGTACAAGCCTTAGAGTAGTATCTTCCAAAACCAAATACACATGTTCTCGTTATAGCAATCTATGCAGCATGATAACAAAATAGTAGAGGAATTAAAGAAACCTGATAAGATTCCTATATTATTTTTATAACACTATGAAGGCGGGGGTAATGCATAGATCGGAAGTGTGTAAATTACAATACTGGTTAGAGAACGAGAAGATGGCCTTGTGCTATTTGGTATCCAACCAGCTTCTGTAAATTCCTTTTTTTTCAGTCTGGGACTGAAAGTTCCATTAGGCGACGAAATTTTATTGTTCCCCTGAGGCAAACTCTAATTTAACTTCGTATGAGAGGACGTTTATCAGATCCAAGACTTCCTAGGGAGCTTCGTTCAGCCATGCAAAGAATCCTAAATTACCAACGACGAATAAAGTAAGCCGTCTACTTCTCAGCCCAGAGTTCTCGATCCTGATGCAGTTGTTAAAGAAAAAAAACGACGTAGGTGTTACATGACAATACACAATGAAAAAAATGTTCTACAATCTGTAATAAGTATGTAAAGTCACAGCGCACTTACATTGTTTCGTGAAAAGTGATAAATGTTAATTATTGTATGTTTCCTTATACGAGAAAGTATTTGTTTTTGTTGTAGAATATCAACACCAAATATGTTGTTAAATGGCCCATTTTGTTAGTTTTTTTATGTTCATATTACAGTTCAAGTTTCGAGGATTATATTTATTGCCTTACTCGCATGAATGAGAGGTCATCTCGATCACACACGATTTTCCGGATTATTCTGGAGTCGAAAGATGCCAATCAGAAAGATGGACCTGTACATATAAGCTACCTTAACTTAATGGACTTAGCTGGTTCTGAGAGAGTTTCTCTGACGAAAGCTGCTGGTGAGCGTCTTAAAGAGGGGGCTAACATAAACAAATCTTTGTCAGTATTAGGAAATGTGATAAGGCACTAAGCGAGGGGAAGGAGTTTATCAGTTATCGCGATTCGAAATTGACTAGACTGCTCTCACAGGCTCTTGGCGGTAATGCCAAATCATTGATTATCGGGAATGTTACTTTAGCTGCAGAGGAGGAGACTAGATCTACACCAGAATTCGCCCAAAGCACTAAAACTGTCAAAAATAAAACGAAAGTAAACATCTTGTCAGCTACAGAAGAGACACTTCAAGGATATCAGAACTTGACTCGCGATCTCGAAACTCGGCTCAAAAAGCAGGCAATTAAGCTAAAAGAGATGGATAAAAGCAAACAAGAGTATCTGCTCGAGATAGAAAGACTAAAAACGGAAGTATCTATTGTCGGGCGCTTTCAAATGGGAGCCTCGGCATCAACACCGAAAAAAAACATTAAGACGTCATACTTTTGGACACTATGGCAACGTATCACCTAAAAAGCATCCCTAGGGTATATGCCATTGAAAAATTATCCACCCAAAGAAGAATCATCCGGACGTGAAATGAGGCCTATTCAAGAAGAGACATATGAGGAGGCACTAGCCGAAGCAGAATCTGTGATAGCTGAAGACGTGCAAGTGTACTTAAAAGACAACTCAAAGAACTGGAAGAATCTTTCAATGAGCTTAGAGAATTCACTAAACTAGATAATCAGCTGGAGATTTTGGACCTGAAGAAACAGCTCACAGAAGCCAATTCTAAATCGATCGTTACAGTCAGGAACTCCGCCAAGTAACGGATGCGTACAACGAAGAAATAGAAAGAGTTCAAAAAAATTCTCAAAAAGCGCAAGAATTTCATCGACTTGCAATACAGACTCGATTTTCTGGAAAAAAATAATAAAAAGACTAAAAACATACGAGTCAGAAATAGAGATGCTGCGTACTCAACTGAAGAACCTAGGAAGATCAGAGAGCCCTAAACCATCTCTTGAAGCTCAAAATATTGAGTCAAAAAAGAAGGTTGCAGACTTAGAAGCTATGCTTGACGCTGAGTACGAAGATATGCAAATTCTTTAAGTGCTGCTACACAAACTGATGTAACGATGTCACACATTGCTGAACTGCAAGATGAAATTGGCTTCCTAAAAGAACTTGAATCTAAACTGAGAAATGACGTAAAGAGTCTGATGGACGAGAGTAACCAACGTGAGGTCAACCACTCATTTAAAATCTCAGATATACGATGCCATAATGATTCTACTATAAAAGAGCTTCAGGATCAAATGGCTGAACTGGAATGCCAAAACGAAATCTGGATTATGAAAAGTGCCCCTCTTTATAACCCGTGAAATAGCCCTAGTTCTAATTAAATTTCAGTTCAAGCTTCCAAAATGACTTCCGACAATATTAAAGTAGCCACAAAGATCAGACCAATGATCCACCGCGAAGTAGCCGATGGTCTAGAGCGTCTTTGGAACGTAAGAGTAAACTGCATATGGGAAGCCGATGAAAGTAGTCGCCATGGAGAGGTTTATATATTCGACCATGTATTTAAGCAGGAATGTACAAATTCAGATGTATATGGATCTGTAGTAAAACCTTTAGTCGATTCCTTCATGGAAGGTTTCAATGCCACAATATTTGCATATGGCCAAACATCTTCTGGCAAAACACACACCATTTTGGGCAATAAAACAGATCCTGGGCTTTTCCAATTAGTATCCAATCAGTTATTCCAGCATGTGGCAGACCAGGTTGATAAGAGGTACTTGATTAGATGCAGTTATATTGAAATCTACAATGAAAAGATCAATGACCTCCTGGATAAGAGCAATCAGGGTTTAACTATAAGAGAAGATATCAAAGGAAATGTGCTGCTTGATGCAAGGGAAGCTGTCGTAGACAATGTTGATAAAGTTATGGAGAACATGATGCAGGGCAATAAGATCAGACGAGTTGCAGCTACTCGCATGAATGAGAGGTCATCTCGATCACACACGATTTTCCGGATTATTCTGGAGTCGAAAGATGCCAATCAGAAAGATGGACCTGTACATATAAGCTACCTTAACTTAATGGACTTAGCTGGTTCTGAGAGAGTTTCTCTGACGAAAGCTGCTGGTGAGCGTCTTAAAGAGGGGGCTAACATAAACAAATCTTTGTCAGTATTAGGAAATGTGATAAGGCAACTAAGCGAGGGGAAGGAGTTTATCAGTTATCGCGATTCGAAATTGACTAGACTGCTCTCACAGGCTCTTGGCGGTAATGCCAAATCATTGATTATCGGGAATGTTACTTTAGCTGCAGAGGAGGAGACTAGATCTACACCAGAATTCGCCCAAAGCACTAAAACTGTCAAAAATAAAACGAAAGTAAACATCTTGTCAGCTACAGAAGAGACACTTCAAGGATATCAGAACTTGACTCGCGATCTCGAAACTCGGCTCAAAAAGCAGGCAATTAAGCTAAAGAGATGGATAAAAGCAAACAAGAGTATCTGCTCGAGATAGAAAGACTAAAAACGGAAGTATCTATTGTCGGGCGCTTTCAAATGGGAGCCTCGGCATCAACACCGAAAAAAACATTAAGACGTCATACTTTTGGACACTATGGCAACGTATCACCTAAAAAAGCATCCCTAGGGTATATGCCATTGAAAAATTATCCACCCAAAGAAGAATCATCCGGACGTGAAATGAGGCCTATTCAAGAAGAGACATATGAGGAGGCACTAGCCGAAGCAGAATCTGTGATAGCTGAAGACGTGCAAGTGTACTTAAAAGACAACTCAAAGAACTGGAAGAATCTTTCAATGAGCTTAGAGAATTCACTAAACTAGATAATCAGCTGGAGATTTTGGACCTGAAGAAACAGCTCACAGAAGCCAATTCTAAATTCGATCGTTACAGTCAGGAACTCCGCCAAGTAACGGATGCGTACAACGAAGAAATAGAAAGAGTTCAAAAAAATTCTCAAAAAGCGCAAGAATTTCATCGACTTGCAATACAGACTCGATTTTCTGGAAAAAAATAATAAAAAGACTAAAAACATACGAGTCAGAAATAGAGATGCTGCGTACTCAACTGAAGAACCTAGGAAGATCAGAGAGCCCTAAACCATCTCTTGAAGCTCAAAATATTGAGTCAAAAAAGAAGGTTGCAGACTTAGAAGCTATGCTTGACGCTGAGTACGAAGATATGCAACATTCTTTAAGTGCTGCTGCACAAACTGATGTAACGATGTCACACATTGCTGAACTG